TTACTGCAAGCCCTTTTTCGCAAGACACTCGCAGCAGGCAAGCCCTGTACAACTAATGTAGGGGCCTAAATAATTACCTGAATTACCTATACCATCTTGGGGTTTCCTTATTGTAACCATAGACTAGTATAATAGGCTCCAATTCCCTACTCTAATTATAAAAGCCCCTATATTACAAGATCCTGGCTTGACTGCTCTGCACCGAAGGTCTTTTTGCATGCTGTCCAAGCCGGGCACTATGACCCGACGGTGCGGGGCTGCACTCGTATGTTGTCCCATATCTCTAGACTGAAAGGGGAACCCTGATTCAGATGAGATTTGCAGACCCGACACGGTAAGCCTCGGTTGTTCGGGTTTTGGGACGACACAAAGGGTTTCAGGCTTAGGTTTCACGCTCCTCTGCAAGAGAGGAGTGGTGTGTCACCAGCTCTCCCTTGCCCAAGTGGGTAAATCTGGCCTGCTTGGCAGCGGCTTGCGCTGGAAGTTCCTGCTGGTTCCAAGTGGGGGTCCAATTGAAATTGTAGTTTAGAGGCCTTGGCCAAATGGGAGTTTCAGAAAATAGGGGACCCTAATATAGTACCCTAAATAGTAGGTCCCTTATTATAAGGACCCCCAAAATAAGGTACCCCTATTTTCGGAATCTCCCAAATCCCTGGAGTAGAAGCTGCCTTCAACTTCCTGCTTTGGGGCGTTTGGATCCGTGCCAAGAGTCAGGGGCGTGGCGGGATGGTACTTGTGAAGCTCGTCCACGACCTCTCAACACGGTTCTGCCTGAGAAGAGTGTTTCGTTGGGCGTAGAGCGTTCCTTTCATTCGGAGTGTTCGACAAAGTGAGCTCATGCGGGCTCCCTCCTTTGCTTCGATCTTTTCTCGAAGTGGGGACTTCCTTAGACGAAAGCTACTAGTACGACCTTGCACCTGATTTCCGTGCCTGGCTCTACGCCAGTTGGTGAATGGAGCACTCGGAGTGGCGCAGGGGCCAGCACGGGCCTCAAGCTGTGCGCAATCGTGACTGTCTGGTATCTTTAGCAGCTGCAACATCACATTCCTCCGTAACGCTGTGCCCGGTGCTGCAGCAGACATTGTTGACTGTGGCTGAGGTTCGCCAGTTCGTGTTTAGGCCGGAGCTCTACGAGAATTTCCATGCGTCGGGTTGCCAAGCTGAGCACATGTTTCAAGATTTGTTCATGTTGTTCCGCAGAGCCATTCCCGATTCCGTGTGGCAAGCTTGCCATACATTCGTAGTATTCGTAATCATTCGTATGTCGTGCTGATGTTCCGTGGTGATCGTGCTCCTCTTCACATGCCGACAGTGTCACCGAGTCATCCGATTGCAACGCCCAAACTCTTGCATTTGGTACAAAAGCACGCGAAAGCCCTCACTGCTAAACCCTTGATTCCGAACCCCCACATCCTAAACTCGACACTACAAGTTCCGCCACAGCTCTACACCAAAATGCATCCAGGTTTGACTTCTTGGATGTCCAGGTGGAAGACCTCGAGCTCTTCCGAGAGGACCCTTGTTTTCTCCCAGTTCCCGGAACGTCCCCGAGAACCAGGATGTAGGATCTGTTTGTTTAGGGTTTAGGGTTCAGGGTTTGGGATCTGTTATTTTAAGGTTCAGGGTTTAGGGTCTGTTTATCTAGGGTTCGTTACTTAGGGTTCAGGGTTTAGGATCTGTTTGTTTAGGGTTTACGGTTCAGGGTTTAGGATCTGTTTGTTTGGGGTTTAGGGTTCAGGGTTTAGGATCTGTTTGTTTAGGGTTCAGGGCTTAGGATCTCGTTATTTATTTAGGGTTCAGGATTTAGGGCTTGTTTATCTAGGATTCATTGCTTAGCGTTCAGGGTTTAGGATCTGTTCATTTAGGGTTCAGAGTTTAGGATCTGTTTGTTCAGGGTTTACGGTTCAGGGTTTAGGATCTGTTTGTTTAGGGTTTAGGGTTTAGGATCTGTTTCTTTACGGTTTACGGTTCAGGGTTTAAAGATCTGTGTATTTAGGGTTTGGGGTTCAGGGTTCAGGATCTGTGTGTTTAGGGTTTAGGGTTCAGGGTTTAGGATCTCTTTATTTATTTAGGGTTCAGGGTTTAGGGCTTGTTTATCTAGGATTCATTGCTTAGCGTTCGGGGTTTAGGATCTGTTCATTTAGGGTTCAGGGTTTAGGATCCGTTTATTTCGGGTTTAGGGTTCAGGGTTTAGGATCTGCTTGTTTAGGGTTTACGGTTCAGGGTTTAGGATCTGGTGCAGGGTGCAGGATCTCTTTGTTTAGGGTTCAGGGTTTAGGGTCTGTTGATGTAGGGTTCACTATTTAGCGTTCAGGGTTTTACGATCTGTTCATTTAGGGTTCAGAGTTATCCGTTTGTTTAGGGTTTACGGTTCAGGGTTTAGGTTTACTTCGGGTTTAGGATCTGTTTGTTTAGCTTTCAGGGTTTGTGTCAGTGTAGGGTTCAGGGTTTAGGATCTGTTTGTTTAGGGTTTAGGTTTCAGTGCTTAGGAGCTGTTTATTTAGGGTTCATTTTTTCGGGTTCAGGGTTTTTAAGGATCTGCTCATCTAGGGATTCGGGTTCAGGCTTTAGGATTTGTTTTAGGGCTCAGGGTTTAGGATCTGTTTGTTTAGGGTTCATGCAGGGTTTGTGTAGGGTTCAGGGTTTAGGATCTGTTTGTTTAGGGTTCAAGATTCAGGGATTAGGATCTGTTTGTTTAGGGAGTTTAGGGTTTGGGCTTCAGGGTGGTCTAGACCCCGTTTGTTCAGCGTTTCGGGCTGAGGCTTTAGGAGTTGTTCGTTTAGAGTTTAGGGTTCAGGTGTTCAGAGTTCAGGGTTCAGGGTTTAGGGTGTGTTTGCTCAGGGTTTAGGCTTGCCAGATTCGTTTGTGGTGGGCCTGGGAGTTGCTTGTGTCCTCTCAGGGGTCGGAATTCAACGGTAAGAGTCTTCCTAAAAGGGTCCTTTTTTGAAAGTCTTCCAGGGTCCCTTCTTGAATGTTATAGCATGATGCCCATGCTTTTTTGACAGCTTAGAGTCGCAGGGGACTTGGGAAGTAAGTTTCAAGTAGCATCAGAACGAGAAGAACCGGAATCCGACTTGCATTCTACTTGCCACACCCTGCTCGTAAATCCTAAAGCATGATCAGCTTCTAAACCCGGAGTGACCTTGAATCCTAAGCCCAAGCCCTAAAAGTTAAGAGGACATGCTGGTGGTGCTTGATGCCTTGCCCACGGCGACTACTTTGTTCTTCCCTTTCGGTGCCAGGTCCTCAGACCTGAAAGTTTGGATCCATACCTATTTTTGCTTCAGAGTTTGGGGGTTCAGGGATTAGGGTTTACGGTTTGTCTGTACGGTTTAGGGCAGGGAGTAGGGCCTACGATTTATGGGTTCGGGTTAAGATTAGGGTTTACGGCTCCGTGGACGACCTTCTGCGCCACATCGTAGCTGGCAGGACCGCTACAAGAAGAAGGTGCGAAGGCCATTTCTCTGCTTGTCCTGCGCCTGGGGCTCAGTTCGGTTCTCTCAGCCCAGAAGCAATGGGAGGCTTGTCATACATCATACCAGCACGCATATCATATCAGACCATATATAAATATATGATATATAACTTATAATATGTAGAAACAGTTATACGTGTTGGACTAATTGCATATGTATGTATGTATGTATGTATGTATGTATGTATGTATAGACAGATAGA